ACGGGTGTCCTAGCTGGGGTCCCCACGCCGGCGCCGAGCCACTGTGGGGTACCAGCTGGAGCCCACAGAATGGCATTGCCCGCTCTTACTATGAGGTGATTTCAAATAATAATAAAATAATGTATGTAAAATACATATATAATAAACTATTAAGCAAACTGGAGAAATTGGTTTCTTGGCTTTTAGAAATCGGTTCACAGTTCAGGCCTGGAGTACAGCTATTGGTGTCTGAGGGTGGTGAGATTTATAGGTGAATAATAATAATAACAATGATAATAAAAAGCCACTTCCTATGTTGGAGGGACTAAAATAGCCTTGTAGCTCCAGGTAAAAGGCTGAGCTGCTTGGGAATGTGTGGGCTAGAGCCCTTGCAGTGCGAAACTTTAGTCAATATTTGTATTTATCCATCTGTTTATCTATCTATGTATCTTTCTAATTATTTATGTGTCTATTTGTGCATGTCTTTATGTCTGTCTACCAACATAAATGCCTGTATGTGTCTATCTATGGTATCTACCTATCCACCTATGAGTCCATGCCTATCTACTGATGTGCCTATGGCTATTAATTCTCTCTCTGCACATCTATATCTGTTGCTGTTTCTCTGTTCTGTGTTATCTGTACCCTGTGTAAATCTATTTGTGGGTCTCTCCGTTAAGACCTGACCCATGGGGCTGTCTGTAACCGGGGCTACCTACACTCCCTGACAAGCGGTGCTGTCTGTACCCCCTGATCTGAACCCTCTGACCCACAGAGCTGTCGGTAGCCTGGACTCTGTAACCCAGACCCGCAGGGCTGTTTGTACCCCCGACAAGTGGTGCTGCCTGTAGCTGGGACCTGTGGGGATGTTATACCCCAGGGCTTGTGGGACTGCCTGGACCCCCGGACCCATGGGGTTATCTGCACCCCCTGACCCACAGAGCTGCCTTCACCCCCCCCACACGGACCGCACTGCACGCTTCCGGGGCTGCCTGCACCCCCGGGCCCATGGGGATGCTTGCACCCCGACCC